ATCCCGATAATTTGAATCGGCAAGGGGATCTGTTTTTTTTTTTTTTTTTTTTTCGATTTATACAGAAATTTAAATTATAATTATTGAGAACGAATTTTCTTCGATTTATTGCGGTTTTCGATTTAGCGCGGTACGAATTATCAAGACTCGACTGTATATATTTATTATATTTTATTTGCTCGCCTCTTCACAACTTGCGCTCGTCATCAATTGAAAATTTGATCAAAATTGTCAGCATTAAGTTGCAATTGTCATGTTTTTATTTACGAGCTCTTGTTTATTTTCATTTGATTTGATTATGGCTAAACGCCCCCTTTGATGCAACTTGAGCGGGCGCGTCGCTATCAGAGAAAGAAAGAGAAGCTTTGCGCGTGGGTCTTTCGAGTGCGATTTATCAATGGAAGAGACTTTTGTGACAATGAATTTGCGTGGAAAGAAAGCCATATAAGGCGACTAGTGGCCAGCTAGGGGAGACAAATATATATATATATATATGCATATGTATGTATGTATGTGTATATGTACTACGAGCTACGGTACCATGTGCTATTTATCAAAGCACGCCATTCATTTGCGAAGAACGCACTTGGGAGGGAAAACGCAAAGCAAAGCAAAGCAAATCGCCGACCGCCCCACATGTTGGCCAATGGTTCAACAACCCGTGGAATCGAGTAAACGCCTCGTTTACTAAAAAAAAAGTGTAGACTATAAAATAATACAACAACAACAACAAGAAGAAGAAAAATCTGTGGCAATAATTTTTAATGTAAAACAGAGACGCATATTTGCTAGATGAGATCACATGGAAAAAGTCGCTGGGCTGCAAATTGGATTGGACTGTGCTGGGCTGGGCTGCGTTTGAGTTTTGTAGAATTGAAACTGAAATTGAAAGGGAGCAGCAGACATTAATAATAATTACGTGACCGCCGGCTTGACATCTGTTTGAAGTTTATGCTGGCATAGCCAGAGCAGCAGCAGCTCTGCTCTATTCCGCTCTACTCTCTACTCTCTAGATGGGCGGGCTCGGGCGGCTCGTTCATGGATCATTTTCCTCTGCCGCTGATGGAGTTATTACAATGGCCCTATAAATAGACAGTCGCTTGACTGACGATCGGCACGCAACCGACTTTTGTTTTCATTTGTTTTTCTTCTTCTTCTTCCCTTCTTTTTTTTTGCCTTTATTATTTTGACCCTATTAGCGCAACCGAGTTGAACTGAAATTCTCGATATGCCCTGGCATGAGGCCTTCAGTTCTTCAGAATTGACAAGGAATGGAATGTCTGACTGGGTGCAGTAATATTATAGGTAGAGGAGCCGAGAAGACAGATTTGTAGAATTTCGTATGAGCTTAAATATTTGTTGTGTTAAATATAATTATGGACTATACTTTAATTAAAATTTTGTTAGTAAACTATTAAATGTTAGATATATAGTTAAAAGCTGCAATAAAATTAATTTAAAGAAAATTAATAAATAAAAATGAAAATAAAAAACTTTATAAATATGAATTGTACTTAACTCAAAATTCATTTACTAATTTATTGATTTTTTGTTTTAGAATTTTGTGCACTGTATATAAATACATATATATAATATACATAAATATAAATTGGCAAAAAATATATATGTAATTATTGATGAAAATTGATTTATATATACAATTTAGGATATTTGTCATCGCATAGAAAAACTCTTAGCAATTATTTGATGTATTTATATAGAAAATAAATTCTTTTCATTATATTATTACATCTCTAGCAAAACACCTTAAACGGTTTTTCTGATAACATTTTGAAATCTGTCCTAAGCTAGGATAAACTTATCTTTGGATACTATCTTTACATATCTGAAAAGCATTGCCTAAGAATGGCTTATTCTAAAAATATAAATTAAAACTATTTTTATAAAACAAGCATAAATAAATTTCAGTCCAATCTATATATTAAATTTCCTCAAAGTGAAAACACTTTGGATAATAAATTGTTTCACAGCTTTCAATTTGTAGAAAATTTCTAAATGAAACCATGAAATATATCGGGTATTAGGAAGCGATCATAAACATACATCAACTGCCAACAGTTATCAAGTGGCACGGTCTATATGAATAGTCCCTAAGAGCGGCTTGTAAGACTATGTGAAGTATCAAAGTTGCATCCATATAAAAACACTTTAACACATTGAGTAGTGGAATGTGCTGCCTGTTATATATTGCATTGCAGGCTGTTTGCTTAAGCACCCCCAAAGTGCTACTAAAGACTACGCCTCTGTCTCGCCCTTTTGTCTTTAACAAATGTGAAGCAATTGAGGTTTGGGTTGTTGTTGTTGGCGTTGGTTGTTCCTCTTATTGTTGTTGTTGTTGTTGGTGGTGTCCATCAACAAGAAGAGCACACACACACACACACACACACACATAACGGAACACACCCCAGGCACAACATGTCTTGTCGGCACTTGCCATGCTGTTCTTTGACCCAAAACCCCTATACTCCCCCTATCCACCCGATCCTCCCCGACCAAAGTTGTTGCTACTTGTTGTGTGCGTCGTCTTGGGCTTGTCATTTGCCAATTGGCATTTATGTTTTGGTAAATTGATATTTCCCGTTGGGTGCAGTCCCAGTTGATGCATTCTATAAAACAATTTAACTAATTTGCTTTCTCTCTATCTTTCTGTCTATTGCAGGTACGTATACAGCAGATATATATATATACATGCATATATCTATATAGAGAGATAATAAAACTCGTTTGATTCAGCCACCTGTCACGTAAGTTTGTTGATAAAAGCGCTTAATGCTTTCATGTTCGGCTTCACTTCACTTAAGACAATTAATTAATGCTGTTAAGTGGCCGAAAAGGCGATAGACAGCGAGGGAGTCAGAGAGGGAGAGGGGGGTAGGCAAGGCAATTTGCAGCCCATTTAAAGCGACGGCGGCATCAATGGGTTAAGTGCCTTGACGCTTCGCTCGTTGCCCATTTGCTGTGTGCCGCGTTACGTGCCTAATTGAAAGTCCAGTGGATTTTGTGCAGCAGCAGCAGCAGCTTCACGAGAAGCGATCCACCACCACCAGCTCTCTGCTCTCAAGTGCATTTCAAATGAATCTCGTTGCGACCTCGGACAGCTGCCAGCTGGAAACTTAATTTCCCTGAGCCAAAACAAAGACACTTAATCAAGTCAGCTTTGCAGAGAAGGCAACACACAGACATAATTCCCAAAATTCTCATATTAATAATAATCAGCATAAAACGAAAGAAGTCAAAGAAGAGGAGTTTAATTAGTCAACGACACTCTTCAATCTGTCCGCTGTCTGTGCAGCAGCCAGTCTGCTGTCTAGACAAGTCCAAGTCATTTGGCTAACAACAGTTTTTGGGCCAGCCGAGGCGACACTCGGCGAACCCAACACGGCAGGCGGTGTCCTTGCTGTCCTTCAAATACCTTTTGTTTGTGCCCAATCATTTAGTCCACTCATTTTCGTTGCGGTTTAGAAAGTTTTGCTATTAAGCAAGTTGAATTGAGTTATGAGTGAGCAGGGACAAGTTTCTTAGCAACTTTGATTTAAGAAGTCTTAATAAAATGAATTATTATAATACAGAAGGCAAAATTTGAAAAATTTGATATTTATATAAATCATA